CTGTCAAACGATATGGCCTTTGTTGCCCAGAGTTTGGCTCGTTTTTATAGCCCTAACTACTTGGTACGCAATTACAGCGAGATCAGATGTTTCCTGTTGCGCCTCAGCCCTGTCTCGCGTAGAAAGAACACCGTAAAATTTTATCATGTGTTTTTCAATTTCTCGACCTGTCAAGTTGCCTAGACAAGTTTTTAAATAAGTACATACCTTTTTTGGCTTTCTTTGGAGTGGAACGTTGCTGATATGGCAGAAAGATTGTCTGACTCCAGTCTCTTTTTTTCAGGGATATCGAGACAATCCGAAGGTGAATGCCATTCTTCTTCTGAAAGGAAATTTGGAAGGTTAGTTTTTTTTTGTCAGTTTGATGAATATGGCCCATTCTGGCATGCTTGAAATTTAACTATGCGTGTTTTCATACGTGTTTGTTGTTTACAGCTAACTCCTGTATAGCATTGTGCTATCCGGTGCTATCGCTCGGCACTTAGGGACGTTTTCGGTTAGGCTAGCCATGTATTGCATAGCTAGAAGCCTTTCTTTTTTACTAGTTTGCACTTTTAGTAGTGGTATGCTTCTTCTTTTGACCATTTCGGTCATGCTAGATTACAATCAACTGAATTTGGAATCGAGGACGCAAGCTATGATTTTTTGGTCCTTTTGAAGTGCTTTTTATTAGAGTTTACACTGCTTCTGGCTATGCTTGACGTTTGGCAGAAACCTATCGAGATATCGAGCAGGCAGTACACAACAAAGATGCCAAACATCCTAAATGGTGGCTTGTCTGGTCACTTGTCTTGATCTGGCCTATTGGCTGATTCGCCGCTGTGCGTGTATCCAGCTCCATGTGTGACCTGTCCGTGTCCGCCGCCCCCCAGACGTGCCGCTGCTGCCGCCGCTGCCGGACCTGGCGTCGGCGCAGCCTCCCGAAGAGGAGGCCGCCGCCGCCGAGGACCCGGCGCCGCCGCGCCCTTCCAAGGCGTCCAGCCGACCCAGCGGGCCGCGCACGCCCGACCCCTACTCGAGCGACGAGACGTCCACCATGCTGCCGCTGTTCGTCGCCATCGGCGCCTTCATCCCGGTGCTGCTGTGCCTATGCAAACTGTGAGCGCCGCCCGGGGAAGCCCGACGCCCGTCCGTGCTACGTACCCGGTCACCGGGTGCTGGCTGTGTGCCGGCAGAGCCGCTGTATTTTGCACCCGGTGGACGCCCGGCCGACTGCCAGTGCGCTTTACCCGTCCGCGCTGACAGGTTGCCAGCCGAGAGCCATGCTGCCGTGTCTGAGCCATGGTGTCCCGCCGTGTCTGACGTGGCGAGGAACCCGCCGGCTCCTCTCCAGTGCTGAATCGAGTTGTGATGTTGCCGTTCTGGCGCGTGCTGTCGTGCGGACGTCGCCCTCGGATGGACCGTCTGGCAGCGCTGTGTCTGCCGGCGGCAGTGTGTCTGTCGCTGCCATCGCGGCGTCCCATGTGTGAATTTCTCTACACTTGTGTGTGCTATTGCTCGGTTCGAGTCCCCGTGGGTGCGGGATGTGTTGCTTCCCAAGTGTGGTCCCGATAGAACAAATTGCGACGCGTCCCGCCATGGGCCGGCATGCGAGAACACTGCCCGCTTTCTTGACGCCGATGCTTCCGTTGGCGGGCGATGCTTTCGGGAGTTTGGCAACTCTACCCATGATTTGTCATATTCATTTAGTTGTTGGTATGAGTGTGCGGTATGGGGTGGCTGGGGTGGCACTGCAGGGTGTTGGCGAAAGGCGGGTGCAGCTTTAGGTCAAGCTCAAAAGGTTGGTACCGGGGTCAGCGTTTGGCAACGTTACGGCTTGATCTCGTGTGATTTGATTGTGATCATATTTTGTTTGTTTGTTCCCGCACTTAATTGTCCCTCCAGATACACGGTTCTGTCAATGAGCTATGACCTAATGACTGATGAGTTGATGACCATTGGCCACCCGAGCTTCAGAATGGTTGCTAATACCTCTTCCGTCGCCCATGACTTAGCGAATTCTTATATCTATTACCTGACGCCACATTCTACCTCGCTATTATTCTGCTGCCCCGTTTTTTTTGTGATTTCAACCCAGTAGCCGTGATTTCAACCCAGTAGCCGTCTAAGTCTGGACCATTATTCATTTCTGGCTAGTCTCTTAACCTTCGCCCCAGTGGGGGGGGGCATATGTTACCAGCCTGTCGCGTTTTTTGCGTGTAAATAAAAAACCGCGGCGCGTAGCGCCGCGCCGCTTGGGGTAGCTTTTGGTACATCAATTTTGGACAATGTGTGAAATTTTTGACCCCAGGTCATGTCAGGTCAGGTCACCAGGTCAAGTAAACTGACCAAGCCTTTAAAAAAGTTTGCAATCATGTCCAGCCTGCAGTGTTTGTCAGAAAGGTTTCAAACTTGGTAGATTGCATGCTGTTGTGGGCGCCTACAATTTATATATCTCGGATTTTTTATATCCGTGACCTAAGGTCAGGTCAGTGGCATGACCTTTCCATTACAAGTCAATGGAGAAAAATGAAAATGCCTCTAGATCCGTGTGTACGCATAGGAACAGTCCAAATATTTCCGAATCACAGTGATTTGGACCACCCGTGATGACCAAGGTGTCATTTTTGCTGATAGCCTCTAGAAAGGTCATCCGAGGTCATTTGAGGCTACAAACAGATTTTTGCGAATAACTCACGATTGGAAAGAGATAGAACGCTGGGGATGGTCTCATTGTGTTTGTCTTGTTGAGACGCATCGACTGATATGCAACATGACCTTTTCCGGTCAGGTCATGACCTTGACCTAAGGTCAAATTTTCAAGTTGACCTTTCAAGGTCAAATTATAGTTCATTTGACGCGTCTCGGCGAGAGGAACACGATTCTGGCAATAGAAATGTCGTGGCTTTTTGTAGTCGAAAGTTATTGTCGAAAAACATTTTTCGTAAAAACAGCTATTTTTGGAGTTTTTGCCCTCTGGAGGCTAAACCGTTGACCTGAGGTCAATTTTGATAATGACCTTATCAAAAGAAGAGTTCAAAAGCTATCGATTTGTTTTCCATGCGTTTTTCTAGCTACCATAGTTCTTGAGATAACGGCATGTTTTCTGAAAAATATAATGACAATTGGCAAATTTTGACCTTTGATGACCTCTGGTGACCCCAATATTGCTCTAAGATGAAAAATGACTGAAATACTTTCAAACGTACGCATTGAGAGCTATCGACTGCTTTTTACCGCGTCTTTCTAGCCCTCTTAGTTTTTGAGTTAGAGGTGGGTGGTAACATATGCCCCCCCCCCCCCCCCCACTATGGCGAAGTTGGCCGAGACCGCCACTGGGGCGCGGGTTAAAGGAAACAGTCCACTTTCCTGAAATCAGTATTTTGCTATTGATTTATGATTTTTTATGCTCAAAATAATCATGAAATAAAATAAAACCTTTTTGTAAAAACAATTATTTTCTATATTTTAATATAGGACGAACTATATTCTATGTAAAATAATGTTTGACGCGGAAGCTTATTACGCATTGACCAATCATATTGCGTAGCTCAAACCCACGCATACTGCATCGGCTGTAAGCAGCACGCTGATTGGCTGACGATGACGTGGCTGCATTCCTGTGCAAGGCACGCATTCTGTAATGTCAGCGACGCCTGGGTAGGACTCAGGTGCAGCCGCCGTCATGGGACGGGGCCGGCCGCTACCCCGGGCCGGCCACGTCACATGCTTTCGCCTCGGACCGCTTAAAACGTAGCGCTCGCCGTCTATCGGGGCGCTTCGTGGCTGGCAGCGTCCGAGGTAGGTGACTGCTCCTGTTCTTTGGCTTGGGGGTTGCATTCCCCCACATTGGGTAATTCTTGTCCAAATTTTAGTTGCGCGTCTGTTCTTTAACTATTGCAGTCTGTTTTAATGTTTTGGCCCTGTGTTATTTTGAATAATAACGTCTTCTAAATCTTGTACATCTTTTACTACGAAGAGCCGGGAGTATGCATGCATTTGACGGAGACGCTAAATCTCGCACGGTTCACCGTTTATATTTGGCTTAATCGGAATTAGCTGTTAAAGAGCCTGAGAACTGACACCAGCCCGATGGGACCGCTACCCACCGAGTGGTTCAAAAGGCGCAGCATCCCACTGGAACCAGAACCGATCGATTGTTGTGCACTGCACTGGGTGGCAGACAGTGCGGCACACACTGTTATTAGAGTTGCAGGCGTGTCCTAGACATGAGCCTCGTTGAGCAACAACGTAGTATGGTAGGAACCCACCTTTCGTGTTATTACAATTCCTCTACAAGGCACTCTTTTCGGAACGAGAAATGGAATATCTTCGTCTAGGGTGATCGTTGAGCCGTAAAAGCTCCTGATTTGTGCTAGTCTCAGCTCAAGCTACGAAACTGCTATTCCAGCTCAAAACCCCATGTTAAAAGTGAACTATTTCCTTTAACAGAGTTTTGCCTTCGTGAAGTGATGTTCATGTCTTTCTTTTTTGTTGGAAGCAAGCTATTTCAGCCTGAAAAGACCGTTGCAGGGCTACTGGATGATAGAATAGGGCGTAGACATTGAGCTGTGGGGGGCACAGACAGCCGCGGAGGCGAGACCGTCCCGATGGAACCGGATTCCCCCGTTCGGACAGTCCGCCCGCCTCCCAAACGGTCCAGCCCGGAAAGGGAGCGTGAAGGGAGATTATGGGGAGGGCGGTTGTACATCATTTTCAGAAAATAGCCCCATTGATACTTGAGCATATAATTGCTCGTCCAGATAAGTGTGGAGAGTCGAGCACGATAGCCGACGCCCGGCAGTAATGCTGGACCGACTGTGCGGTATACAGGGCTTGGACTGTGCTGTGTTCCAGCTTCGGGGAAACTGTCGGGTCTTTAAATAGAGCTGTGAAAATAACTTTATTCACAAAAGCAGTAAGACAAGCATTGTTTACTTGGACTAGTTTCATTTATTCATTTTATATTTTTCATCACACATTTACTTTGCAATAGCGTGATTTATGTCTAATATTTCTATGCTCCCCTCTCTTTGAAGTCTACATCCGCCTCTAATCAATCGGCCATTTTCTGCGCTGCCTTCGCCGACGCCGGTGGGGTTCTCGGCGTCCTTCATTTTATCTGCGTTTTTGCTGTAATTTGCTGTCTAACGCGAAGAACTACATCTAGCAACATGCCTGTAAGTATATATGTACTTTTTATGGTCTTTTGGCCTTAAGGTCTCTTAATATTGACTTTTATTTCCCCCTTTAAGATTCCATTTGGATTCCAGCTCTTTGTCGGGACCAGTTGCGTGTTATTCGTGCTAAGCGCATTTATTTTCAGTAAATGTCACTCAACGAATATTTGTAGCAGTGAAATTTTGAATTTTTAAGTGATGTGGGTTGCTTTGTGAATTCAGGGATGGCGAAACGGGTTTTGAGGGTGCTCAAGTGCCCACTCGCCTCACTTTTAAAGACTCCCATTGATATTGAAAAGTTCATGTAGAACAATTCTCCTAAATTTGGTGAATATCTTCTGGTAAAAGTGATACACAGTCATGTAGGCATCAAAGCTACTGGGGAAACTTTGGGTATTATTATAGCTGGCGTCTGACATGCTGTCACTGTTCGTGAAAAGTCGCTAGACTCTCCAGTTTTTGAGATATTTCCTCAAATTTCGCTATTAAGATCTGTTGTGTTCTACAAAACAAAAACATAACCTAACCTGACCTAGCCTTACCTACAACCTAAACCTACAAACCTACAGCCTAAAGAGAAATTTGTGTAAATATCTCAAGAAATGAATAGTCTAGAGACTATTCATAAATGGGTGGCAGCATGTGAGATGCCTGCTATAAGAATGCCAAACTTTGTAGGAATTTTATGGCATTGAAGGAACACACTGAAAACTGAAAAGCATCCCTTGACATTTCATTTTCAGAATGCTCCACAACTTTCAATGTCTGTCATCAGTTGGGGAAACTACGAGGAGCCAAACAAAAATTGGATCAGCCAATCAGCGGCTGGAGTGGGCGGAGCGATGACCATATATGGTCATAAAATCAGACTTCATTTTTTCAATGAATCCTGGCATTCAAATGAAAAAAATAAGGCATTAGAATGTTTTTTAACCATGCAAGGCCGACACTCACTCGGTGCATAATTAACTGGCGGCTCTAAATCACAGAGTTACAACGCAAGGTCAAACCGTGATTGACAAGTATGGCGGATTGAAACAGACGCGCCAAAAAATGTAAGCAGTACCGTGGTTTAAAAATGTCATTATTTTTATTATTTTGTTTATGGTTTTTCTAATTGTGGTTAAGTTATTATTTTTAAATTAAATATCTTTGTTTATTGTAATTAAATTAAATCTTTAACAATTTTCTTTCATAAAACCAATCCATTTATTGAATGGCCAGCTGATTTTGACGCCCAGAACCTACAGAAAAGCCGCTTTCCTATCGCCATTTTCGAGTCAATTCGCCGAATTTAATCAAATCACGCTAATTCCTAGTAAAAAATGGAAGCCTTTTCTCTCCAATAAGTGGACGCGATACCGCAAGTAAGTACCGGCTTGTTATACCGTTTTTCACCCTTAGTAGCGGGGGCTGCATTTATGCCCATATATGGTCATCAAAAGTCCATTTATTGACCAATCAATTTTTATATTCACCTCGTAGTTTCCCCAATTGTCATAACTGCACCGAGTGACTGATCTCTTTGGAAATTTCAGAGAATGATAAGAGCAGCGGCATGTACAAAATGTACATCTCAGAATTTTGACAATGGTGACCTAAGGTCAGGTCAATATTGTAGGTCAATGGGAGAAAATCGAAAGGTGCCTCTTTTGGATGAACATCATTCTTAACCTTCGCCCCAGTGGGGGGGGGGGGGGCATATGTTACCACCCTGTCGCCGCTTGGGGTAGCTTTTGGTACATCAATTTTGGACAATGTGTGAAATTTTTGACCCCAGGTCATGTCAGGTCAGGTCACCAGGTCAAGTTAACTGACCAAGCCTAAAAAAAAGTTTGCAATCCTGTCCAGCCTGCAGTGTTTGTCAGAAAGGTTTTAAGCTTGGTGGATTGCATGCTGTTATGGGCAGTGCTGGAAATGAGGCCGCTTTCTGGTCCCGGCGTTTTATTCTCCGGGTGGGTTACCCCCATCTAGCGCTTAGCCTTTCGGAACCCACTCAGGGTCGCGGCTGTTTTTCACCGCTCGGCCCATTCGAGATGCAAAGTTGATAGTCACACGAAGTTTATTTAGGGCATCTGAATATACGACTCCGAAATTAATCGATTCTACAAAACCTTTTTCTTTCATGAACATGCATACATTTAACAGTAACTCTAGACTAGGCTGGTTTGGCTGGCCCTAAATAAATAAGCTTCGTTTGACTATTAACTTTGCATCTCGACTGGGGCGAGCGGCGAAAACAACCGCGACCCTGAGTGGGTCCCGAAAGGCTGAGCGCTAGATGGGGGTAACCCAACGGGAGAATAAAACGCCGGGACCAGAAAGCGGCCTCATTTCCAGCACTGGTTATGGGCGCCTACAATTTGTATATCTCGGATTTTTTATATCCGTGACCTAAGGACAGGTCAGTGGCGTGACCTTTCTATTACAAGTCAATGGAGAAAAATGAAAATGCCTCTAGATCCGTGTGTACGCATAGGAACAGTCCAAATATTTCAGAATCACAGTGATTTGGACCACTCGTGATGACCAAGGTGTCATTTTTGCTGATAGCCTCTACAAAGGTCATCCGAGGTCATTTGAGGCTATAAACAGTTTTTTGCCAATAACTCGCGATTGGAAAGAGATAGAACGCTGGGGATGGTCTCATTGTGTTTGTCTTGTTGAGACGCATCGATTGATATGCAACATGACCTTTTCCGGTCAGGTCATGACCTTGACCTGAGGTCAAATTTTCAAGTTGACCTTTCAAGGTCAAATTATAGTTCATTCGACGCGTCTCGGCGAGGGGAACACGATTCTGGTAATAGAAATGTCGTGGCTCTTTGGAGTCGAAAGTTATTGGTGAAAAACACTTTTCGTAAAAACAGCTATTTTTGGAGTTTTTGCCCTCTGGAGGCTAAACCGTTGACCTGAGGTCAATTTTGATAAAGACCTTATCAAAAGAAGAGTTCAAAAGCTATCGATTGCTTTTCAATGCGTTTTTCTAGCTACCATAGTTCCTGAGATAGCGGCATGTTTTCTGAAAAATATAATGACAATTGGAAAATTTTGACCTTTGATGACCTCTGGTGACCCCAATATTGCTCTAAGGTGAAAAATGATCGAAATACTTTCAAACGTACGCATTGAGAGCTATCGACTGCTTTTTATCGCGTCTTTCTAGCCCGGGCTAGAGGCCTCTTAGTTTTTGAGTTAGAGGTGGGTGGTAACCACAGGGGAGCACTGCCGCTTCAACCCTATTGGCCGTAGTGTCTAACGGTGGCGGCCATATTGCGCAGACCAGGAACCGGCTGCCGCCTGTGTTGAGGAATAGGGAATTCGGGACCTCGATTTACGTTTGCGGCCGCCGCATCCGTTACGATCAAGTTACGCAGATACGGAGCCCGGCATCTTACGCAGAATTGAGTGGGGAACACGATCGTACTTCAGAATTCCTCAAATTTACTCGCCGGACCTCCATTTGCCCCGGCCGAGGGGGTTGATTGAACCCACCTCGCAAATGCGCCGCTAATTTAACTAGAATTAAGCGGTAAAGTGGTCGTATGCGGCAAAGTATAACGCAGAGTGACTGGTAGGAACCCGCTTTAAAGGTCTCAGGTCAACCGGTGACCTCTGAGGTCAGGTCAAGTGATCTAAGGCACGGGTTCGGTTTTTGGTAAATAACTTCGCCAAAAATGGCCGTAGAGCCGCGATTTTGGCATCATCGTGTTCAGCTAGCTCAGGCGCATCGAGTGATATACTTTTTGTTCGGGTCAGGTCAACTTAGGGTGTTGACCTCAGGTCAAGGTCAGGTTAGCACCCCCAGGTCACAAAGTTGGTCGAAAGAGGTCATGTTGCATATCATTCGATTCGGCAGGTCTTCCTGAGTCCATTGGTGGCTTTCCCGGCTCGCTAGCTCAATTTGATCGGTAGTTATTGAAGAAAAAATTGTGACCCTTGTGACGTCACAAATGACGTCACGCAAGGGCAACAATGCAAATATGAAGCATAGAACCTTGCAAGGAGTGCATGAAATAATGATTCTATATGCTTAAGATAGCTTCAGATCATTCTCGGCGCCAAAATAGCATTTTTCATATTTCCCCATTGACTTATAAGGGTTTAACGTATTAGTTCCTTGTATCTGAGGATATTTTAGGATTTCATCTTGTTCTCCACTCGATTCTGCGTAAGATGCCGGGTTCCGTGTCCACATAGCTTGAACGTAACGGATGCAGCGACCGCAAACGTAAATCGAGGTCCCGAATTCCCTATTCCCCAACACAGGCGGCGGCCGCTTCCTGGTCTGCGCAACATGGCGGCACCGTTGGACACCATCTGGCGGCCGATGCGCATTCCACATTATAGAGTTCAGTGGTGGTAACATATGCCCCCCCCCCCCCCCCCCCACTAGGGCGAAGTTGGCTGAGACCGCCACTGGGGCGCGGGTTAACACCCAAACTATGAATTTCAAGTAACTATGAAACATTGAACATGAAAATGGCACCCGTGACCTCTGTTGATGCCCCTGAGGTCATCCTAGGTCACAAATAAGTTAGAATTTAAATGTCAAGTTATAGGTATTTCATTTGACGCGTTTTGACAAGAGGAACATGATGCTGGTACAAGTAGGCTCGTGCAAGGCTGTCAGCAGTTCTTGTCCCCTGTGGACAAAACTGCAGGCACAAATCTGAGAGAAATACTTAGGAAGAGCATGAATAGAGCTAGCAAGTTCGCTTATCCGGGGTGCTGAAGTTCTTTTAGTTTCTGAATTATGTGTTGGTTTGTTGTAAATTGTCGACATTCGACCCAAAAATGAAAAAAGTGAAATGAAATTTGAAGTGAAAAATCAAAAATCAAAAGTGAAATTTAGCCTTCAATGACCTAGTCTGGTGACCTGACCTTTGACCTGACCAAAAAGGAGCAAAGTAAGTTAGTCATTGTTTTTACATGCTTTCGAATGCCACCTTCTCCATATCCCTGTGGGGTCGAGGAGCCAAGTTAGAGGGACGGGGTGTTCAACCCCCCCCCCCTTCCCCCCCAGCAGGGTGTGAAAATCCGGGACCCCGAGCGGGGCGCAGGGCCTTACAATAGTTAAGCTAAAAAAAGGTAAAGTGAGTACCTACATAGCTTGATTTATAAGCTTGATTTAAAAAAGGCAAGTATCACAAAAGTGTCAAAAATAGCTGACAATTAATGGCAATCATTTAGGACAGTTCAAGCAATAGACAAATGATTTTTATCTTCAGAATGATAAAAAGCCAGTCAGATTTAGGATCAATTTTGTCTGGTGGGGGCCATCTTGTTCCATCAATGTTTACCCAGTGCGGTTCGTCGGAAAGTCAATTCATCCACGAAAGAAATGGAATATAGGTACCATTCGAAAGCTGACAGTAAGCTGGTTCCAAAAATGTAATTTATTATCAAAATCTAATAGCTTTTTTCACAAATTGCGTGTTTGTAAAAACGTGATAATTTTTCGTTCGACGGGTTGTCCCGGACATTCTTGAAATCATAGACATGTTTTTTCGTGTTTCAATAAGGGCTGAACGACTAAAGAACAATAAGTATCAAAACAAATTCTTAAGTATTAATATGAGTCTCTCACAGCCGCCAACAAGGCACAATCACACAGCTCAGTCTCACGGTGGCCTTAAGTCCGACACATAGAAGCGTATCGACTCGCAGACACGGCGCTTTCGGCCTGTCTGACCGGGCATGGAAGGGACGTTCGGCTCCCGTTCTACTAAACGGGCGTCATATTTGTTAGTTGAACGATCCACATCGCTTTTCAAGTTATTCAGGATACCTGTGAAAAACGTTCATTGTTCTACTAGATTTACAGCACGCTTTAAGTTACATTTCCTCATGTATGTTTTGCTGCATCCAGCTGCGCTCAATGCCCGCGCAAGGAAAGTTAGCGGGTTTCACTGGCTATGTTGGTACGATCTAAGCCGATTTTGCAAAATGGATTTGCTCCATCAAGTCATTTAGGCATAATTTTGAAATTTAAATAAAGGATTAGGTGCTAGTTAAAACTATATATATTATATATATATATATTATATATATATATATATATATATATATAGGTCAATTGCCCCAAGGTACGGGTCAGCTTTTGGTGAATAACTTCGCAAAAACGGCCGCAGAGCCGCGTTTTTGGCAGCATCGTGTTCGCCTCGCTCAGGCGCGTCGAATGATATACTTTTTGTTTGGGTCAGGTCAACTTAGGGTGTTGACCTCGGGTCAATAGACAATAGACAATGAACAATTTATTCAGGACATTCCACTGGAACATGTGGCTATTACTGCCCGTCGTCAGTAAAACAGGTGATGATAAAATGCAATAAAAGATGAAAGGGGAACACACATGAAAGAAAAACACTCATGATGACTAGTTGCTACTGCTCTGCTCCTCGAGCAAATGCCTGCGTAAGCGTTTTCCGAACGCCCCAGGGGGCAGTCGGGACAAATCCGGTGGCAGTGAGTTAAGGGCAGCCGGCGCTCGGCAGGTGCACCGGCGTTTCCCCATCTCCGTGCGATATCGCGGCACGTACAGGAGTGTGTCCTGCCGCGCGTCCCGCTGACAGCAGCGTCCCGGCCGCGCGCCTCCGCCACGGTGGCCAGACTAACCGCCAGCACCTCCGGCTCGGCGTGACACTGCACTTTGTGCAGCAGGCATGAGTGGTAGGTGACGAGGTTCTCCGCGCTGAGCCAGCGCAACTGGCACATCAAATCAGAAACATGATCGTACTTTTTGCGGCCGAAAATGACTTTTGCTGCGTAGTTAAAGATTTTTTTTGTATCCGAGGGAGATTCTGTCTGGTGCCAGCGATTGTGTCTGGTGCCAGCACCATACACTGCGATGCAGTATCGAATCTGGGATATGACCAGTGCGCTGACCAGCACGGAGATCACAGTGGGCGGTAGGTGCCCCCGGAGATGCAAGAGACCACCCAAAACTCCAAAACAGCGTTTTGTGAGCGTTTTAATATGATCACCCCAGGTCAGGTGGCGATCAAATATGATGCCAAGATTTTTTGCTGAGGAAACTGGGGACAGCTCGTGAACGCGGTATTTTACTTTAAGTTCAGGCAATGTGCGAAGATTTGGGGGTCTGCCCAACAGCATCAGCTGAGTGTTAGCGGCGTTTACTTTTAAGCCGTTAACCCGGAACCAACGGTCAAGAGAGGCCAATGTGTCCTCCATACGAGTGACGAGCGATTGAAATTGAGATTTCTTGCCGCTTACTAGAATTTGTGTGTCGTCTGCATATTGTACTACTACTGCGCCTTCGGCAAACTGACTAAGGTCGTTGGCGAAGACGCAGTAGAGGAGGGGGCCTAGGGCTGAACCCTGAAAAACTCCGATGCTGTTGGGTAGCGGGCGGGACTTTTTTAATCCACCGTGGTTGTCAGTGAAGCTGACCCTCTGAGTGTCACGGTCAGGTCAGCGCCCCCAGGTCACGAAGTTGGTCGAAAGAGGTCATGTCGCATATCATTCGATTCGGCAGGTCTTCCCGAGTCCATTGGTGGCTTTCCCGACTCGCTAGCTCAATTTGATCGGGAGTTATTGACGAAAAACTTATATGACCTTGATGACGTCACGTAAGGTCAACATTGCAAAAGTGACGCATCTTACCTTGCAAGGAGTGCATTAAATCACGATTCTTTGTGCTTGAGATAGTTGGAGATCGTTTATTTTTATTTTTCCCCATTGACTTATAATGGTGAGGTCACGAAAATGACCTGACCTCATATGACCTTTAGGAAAATCCGAGATATACAAGTTGTGAGACACGTAATGGATACTAGATCCGGCAAGTTTCATTTCCCTGTGAAAAAGCTCCTCTGGCAGTGAGGGCGTTGCGAAGTTGCGACATCTGAAGACCGTGCAGAGGTTCACTTATGACGTCAAAGGTCAGTGACCTGACCCGAAAATGCGGTTGTTGCCAAAAGATTCGGCTTGAATCAAAGGTCAGGTATGCCAGGTTTCAGCTCTATCGCCAGCGTGTTCGGAGCTATCGCGGAAAAAAACCCTATGGGGGGGGGGGGGCGGCACCGGCCGCCCCCCTCGGCCGGCGAGGGTTAAAAAAATGCTAACAGTGAGGGTCGAACTTTAAAAAAACGAACTATAGTAAAGCTGTTTGGCCGTGCGACCGGTCAAAGGTTACCCCGCCCCGCCGGGCGCTACCCGGTACCCCCCACTCCAGCCTAGCTGAGGTCGGTACAACCTCTGATAGTGCAGCTGGCCAACTTTCCTTAATGCCTAGCTGAATTGAGCTAAGTAGACATACTCGTAAACAAATGCATAGTCATGCATGATGTGAAGATGACAGTACAACGAATGTTCTTCCCAGGTATCCTGAATAGGTAACTCTAGTGCCGACTTGAACCGTTAGGCAAACAAATGTGGCTCCGGTTTAGTGGAACGACAACCGAACGTCGCTTCCCTGGCCGGTTTGACTTAAGTCAGACAGGCCGAGAGCGCCGGTCTGCGAGTTGATAAGGGCCATTTAACGCTTCTGTGTGGCTGACTGGTCCATCGTGAGACCGAGTTGTGTGATTGCGCCTTATTGTCGGGTGTCGGAAACGCATACCTATATAATATACCGGGTGGCCCAAAAAAAAACGTTCCGAACTTTGAAGGCCTATATCTCAAATTTGAGTGCAAATATCGAGCCAAAATTCTCATCAAGTTTGTGTCACTTCTTTGCGCATTGGTATGCCAAATTATAACACTCTATCATCATTTTCAAGCCAGCAATCTTATGTTGAATTAAGTAAGACGCTTTTGCTTTTTTTGCCGATGTTGGACGGTAGTGATGTTTGGGTTAGACCTACCATGTTAGGGAAAAAATAAAATGGAACACGTGAATGAAACCAGCACGTGTGTTGTTATTCTAAATATTTTTGTCCCACTTATGTGCCGAATATTCAAATACTGAGCCAAAATGGTGTTAATGAATAATGAATGTCATTCGTTTCAACACTGAGCCCTGTTTCGAGCAGGAGTGGCGCGGTGCATGGGTTACTGCTGATTGCCCTCCCTTCAAGAAGATCAAACAGTAAATCGACCGAATAAGGAAAAAAGCTAGAGGGAATGTGCCACCCTAAGGCCTGAACCATCAGTGAGGCTAGTTGCCAGTAGCAGTCATGGCTGCAGGCCGTGGTACCGAGATGGAAGTGGCCCGTTCACTCACATTTTTTTAAGTAAACATCTGAGCAAAAAAGTAATTTTTACATGGCATGCTAGAAACACAAACTATTTAAAAAGTAATTGCCCGAATAACATAAAAATAATACAATTTACTGAAAATATATGCTGCATTGACTGTTGGGAAGTTTCAATGTTGTGTCTTTATCACTTTCTGAGAAATGTTGATTTAAAGTTGGGAACGTTTTTTCTGGGCCACCCGGTATATATTTGAGAATATTTGTTCGCTGCATATTGTTTTTTTTTTTTTTGCGTGTAGCTTTCATGACTGGAATGCGAAAAAGTTGTCTGTGATTTCAATAATGTCCGAGGCAGCCTGTTGAATAAAAAATTATCACGTTTTCATGATAATATATTTTTAATAAGGCCATCGAAATATTTTGATAAAGATTACAATTTTGGAATCGGCTCACCGTCAGCTTTCGAATGGTATATTTCGTTTCTTTTGTGGATGAACTGAATCTCTGACGAGCCGTGCCGGGTGGCGAAATACGACCCCCAAACTCTGTTCAAAATGTTTTTTTCTAAGAAAAGGTTTGTGGCATTCCTAGTTCTTAAGTGCCTATTGCCATTGGTTCAAGTCCTTTTTGCATTATTTTTGTGTCATAAAATGTGTTATTTTTATTTTTAGGGCAAAGATGCTGAACAGCAGAGGAAGCTGTTCATCGGTGGCCTCGACTACCGCACCACAGATGACAGCCTCAAGTCCTTCTATGAACAGTGGGGCGAGATTGTGGATGTCATCGTCATGAAGGACCCCAGGACTAAAAGGTAAGATGCCCACTTGTTACAATTTCTTGGGTTGAGTGCCATTAGTATTGGGATATTTTATTTTCCACACCTAGATTTCACACACATTTAGATAAATGGAGAAATATATACCTGTTGGATTGTTGCCAAATAAATGCATAATAAAATTCCTACTATAATTATATAGTGTGAAAAACCCTGTTGTTAATTTGATGGAGCATTGTAATTCTCGATCCAGTAGATATCTGTTGAAACAATTGCTCACACAATGTGTGCTGTCAGGTCCCGAGGCTTCGGGTTCGTGACGTTCGCCGACTCGACCATGGTGGACCAGGCGATGGACAACCGTCCGCACGTGATCGACGGCCGCGAGGTGGAGGCCAAGCGCGCCGTGCCCCGCGAGGACGTCGGCAAGTCCGTCAACAACGTCACCGTCAAGAAGATCTTCATCGGTGGCATCAAGGACGACATCACCGAGGACGACCTCCGCGCCTACTTTGGGGTGGGTGCCATGTTGGATGGCAGAGCCGATCCGACTTGTTATTTGTAGTAAGACGACACATTTGTTCTGTTTGTTGTGCTCTAACTAATTAATTTTGTCGTGTTCATTTACAGGAGTATGGCGATATCGCCTCAGTCAACATGCCTTTCGACAAGGAGACCGGTAAAATGCGTGGATTTGCGTTCATCGAGTTCGTCGACTACGACTCTGTCGACAAAATCGTCCGTAAGTAGACAACTTGGGATGAAGGAGTTCATGCCCTGCGAATTAATTTTTTGTATGAAGGAGACCGCTTTCAGCAGTGCTCCTATTCACCATTGAACATACTACATTTGAAACATGTCATTCAAAGTGCTACGTTGTTTGTCATGAACAGAACTAAGCTTGATTCAAAATGATCTGTACAGCTTGGTAGTCATGTCGTGACAAAATACCATCACTTTGCAGTGAAGAAGAATCACGAAGTGAATGGCAAGTTTGTGGACGTCAAGAAGGCGCTGAGTAAGGCGGAGATGGCCGAGGCCGGCGCTGGCGGCGGCGGGTTCGGAGGACGGGGCGGCGGCCGCGGAGGGCGCGGCGGCTTCCGCGGGGGCCGTGACGGCGGCGGCGGCCGCGCCGGCCCCTGGGGCGAGGGCGGCCGCGGCGGCGGCTCCGGCGGACGCTGGGGCGGCGGCGGCGGTGGTGGCTACGGCCAGCAGCCGTGGGACAGCTCGGGCGGCCAGTGGGGCGGACAGCAGGGCGGCTATGGCGGCGGCTACGGCCAGCAGGGCGGATACGGACAGGGAGGTGGCTACGGCCAGCAGGCCGGTGGCTACGGACAGCAGAGCGGCGGATACGGACAGCAGGGGGGCTACGGACAGCAGAGCGGCGGCTACGGACAACAGAGCGGCGGCTACGGCCAGAACGGCAACGGCTACGGCCAGCAGGCGGCGGCCGGAGGCGGTGGATACGGATACAACAGCGGTGAGTCGCGCTTTAAGCCTGATGGTCTGGTCGAGGTGGTGACATGGTAATATCCGGATGGACGCTGATAAATTACGCTGCTATTTGTGAAGTAGGTACATATGTATAATGTGAGCCCGACTAACAGTAAAAAAGGGGGAAACATTGCACTCTTTGTCATTGTTGTGGCTCTAAGTTGCATAGTTTACAGCATTCTGTGTCCAGCTCGACTAACATTGTGCTTCTTAGTGCTGATGAATGATATTTGCATGGCTAAAAGGCTAGAGTTTTACTAGCTCGCTGAAATGCGGCGCCAAGGTGAGAGTTGGAAGCCGCTTTGACCGGCCCACTGCCCGGCGAGCGGCCGTCGGTGGCCGGGTGCTGACTGTGTCCCCTCTGCTCCGCTGTGTCAGCAGGCGCCCAGGGCAGCTGGGGCGGCAGCCAGAGCGGCGCCACCGCTGCGCCCGACACGTCGGCCATGGGCAGCTACGGTAACCAGTCGTACGGCGGCGGACCGGCGCGCGGCTACAGCCAGGCCCAGACCAACCGGGCGGCGCCCTACGCGCAGCGCGGCGGAGGTACGCACGGCCACTCTCTGCCGACAATCTGCTGATCAATGTCTCGCGGACATGGACATTCCTTTAATAATCTGTAGCTTCCATAGTCATTCTGTACTATCCTATCTTATTATTACAATTTTGTACTTTCCTATATGAATATTGCAATTTATGGAGTGGTTGCTATGTCATGTTTTGTTGCGTGGCACTTGACTCTCCCGTCACGGTTGTTTTAATTTGCCTCGTACTTTATTATTTTGAAATGTTAAATTTCGAATGCGATTCGAATTTCGGTTATGAGATATACCCGAGGGCAGATGTGTGCAGGAACATTAGCAGCGTCATTTGTCGCTTGATGTGTCCACTGACGTCACTGTTTGTCCTCGTTGCAGGTGGTGGAGGCTACAACAAATACTAAGTCTCCCGCCGTCCACCTGGCTGTTCCGTGTAAGTTCAAACTTATCGTTACAGCCTCTACGTCTCTCATAGTCTGAAGCACATATGTATATGCTGGGGATTATCCGCATTGTGTAATTTTGGCATTTGTGTGAAGATATGTGTGAACATTTCATCGCATTGAAATTTGTGTCAGTTTCATCGGTTTATGCTACATTTCACGATTAACCCTAGGGAATAGTGAGTTGTACCTGTTTCGACTCGTCAGACCTGTTTCCGGATGGTTATGTTGTGTGACGCCTGCGCCCTGTCTGTTTTAGGCGATTTAGTTTTATTCAGGGTGACTGGCGTCTGGCTAGGTAGGGCTGCTACATAGGGGAGGCGGAGTCTGCGCTCCCGGTCCGCACTGAAGTAGCGTGTCAAGCAGGCAGGCAGGCAGGCCTCACAGTGAGAGCGGGCAACGGCGCCTGACGAACGCCAACGAGGGCCACGGCACACATTCCCCCTCCCCCTCCCGCTCCTCCCGCGCACCCGACCAGCCCGCTCTGTTCAGTCGCCGCCGTCGGCGCGAGCTCATGTAACCGGCGCCGGCCGTCCGCCCGCGGCCCTGTGCCAGGGATGGGCCGCCCCACGCGACCCCCGGGACGGCAAACGGACGGCGTCCCCGCCCCCGGGCCGGGACGCCGTCCCCGTCCCGCACTGCATTCATTTTGTACAAATGGTCAATAAACCTAGACGTCGCTGTCGCTAGCTGGTTTCGTATGTGTTCCCGTGCTGTGAGTGTAGCCGGCGCGGGCCCGCCAGTCAAGTGGCCGGTCCGCGGATAGGGCGGTGGATGGCTCTGTACAAGAAGGCAGCCGCTGTAGAACCAAGCACGGCGTCAGGCAGGCAGGCAGCTACGTAGCGGAGTGCAGGCAGGCAGCTTCTATCAGGAGGCAGGCAGGCACCTACTAGCTGGAATATGAGGAATATCGACTAAACATGGGTCGGTAGGCTGGGTAGGTGGATGATTTTCTATGTTTCGTGATTGGCACTTACTTATTTAACCGTCGTCTTAATGATATTTTTCGTTTATTCCTTACTTTTCAATGTGCAGTTAGAAATACCGCAGTCTGACTGATTTGTTTTGCATTTAGGCCCCGTCTTTTTTCACTATCAGTGTATGCGACATGACGCTTCCCTAGTTGGGCACGTTTCCATTAATATATAGCCAGAGTTGCAGGTTTAGCATTGAACAGTTTGCATTGAATAGCCTAACCGGTGATGTGTTCGTGATTGCTGCATTGGTAATTCGATTACTGACAGTTGTCTCATTACAGGTCTGCTCGACGTCATCGAACTCTGGCGGAACCGGCCAGAGACTCCGAGACGATGGTCTGCAACAATCTGTGATAAATCCGTACAACTGCCTGTGAGAGTTTATTTATTTGTAACGCTACCTGTGATATTTACAAAGACAGTAGGCTGTTTTAAATAAATTATGAAGTTTTATCTGGAGTTTGTTGAATGTTCATGATTCAGGGAAGGGCTTGCCCGCACGAGATGCCGAGTACCGAGCACCCCTGTCAAGCAATAATATGTAGGAAAAACAACACGCTGCCTCGCTGGTCTCGCCTGCCAAATCCCGGCTTTTCATTGAACTGATGGTGAACTAGAACTGGTCGCTGGGGGCGGAGTAATGCATCCATTCGCCCACCAGCGCTGAGACGAACACTGCCACTAAGCTGTTGAATATCTGGGAGGGTCGTACTGCGCTGGCGAGTCGATGTGCATGGGTTCAGCCCTTATTGCGTTAGAGGGAAGCACTATCGTAATGTGTTGCGTATTATAACACTTGTCTGGTTCAGATGCATGAGCAGTGAGCCGGCTTTCGGATGGGGCGCAGATGCCGTGCGCGGAGAACGGCAGCCTCGCAGGTGGCGCTGCGGACACTCAGAACACCGAGCAGAAGCTGCCCACGCATAAGCTCATAGCCCACTATGAGCCTGAGCCTGACCGGCACTTTGATATTTAGCGTAATCTATTATACACACTATCTACGCACGGCTCTCGCGAGATTAAGCGGTAGGTTTTGCACTTTTACATCTCCGGTTATATCTCAGAAACCAATCGATCTACGATGAAGCCATTTTACACGATTGTGGCCGGATTGTGACCCAACAAGTCGATCGCATCTTCAACACTTAAAAGCTTAAGTCGACGAAGTATAGCCTGAAGTAGTAAGTACACTAAATTTTCTAGGTGCAAAACCTACCGCTAAAACCCGCGAGACCTGTACCTGTATTATTAACATAGGTGTAGGAACAGGGGGGCACGGGGGGGCCGGTGGCCCCCCCCCCCCACTTTTCAGTAATGTTAACTGCCCCCCTCCCCCACTTTTTGCCGAACTTTTTAATGTATTTGTAGGTATCACCTCGAAGAACAAACTTGACGGTTCTGCGGCCTGCCCTTCCATGAAGATTTCCATTTGTGCTTCATCGTTATTGAGTGCAATTTTCCTCCACCCAATGAAAGGTAACTTTGTCAAAAGCAATAAGTGGCAGCTTAGGGGCAGCGCGCGCTGCAAAGAGAGACAATACTGGCGCAGCAGAATGCGTAAACGGCGTAAACTAACAATTTATGTTAGGCGGCCTTGCATTAGTTGATCGGTTACTGGCATAGGCGTAGGAACAGGGGGGCAGGGGGCAATGGTCCCCCACTTTCGAATGGGGGCCAGCAATGTTAACTGCCCCCCCCCCCCCCCCCCCACACACACACACACCTTTTGCTGACTTTTCACTTCTCACGTTTCACGCTCGCTCGTAATAAAAATGTTTTTGGATGCTTCTGGAATTTGCATGGGTGCCAACCAGTGGCGGATCCAAGGTGGGGTCACATGGGTCATGCCCCCTTGGGGCCCGGGGGCACCACAGGCCTACCAGGGGCACCACCGACCCATCAGGGGCACCACAGACCTGACAGGGGCGCCACCGGCCTGTCAGGAGCACCATCGGCCTAGCAAGAGCACCACTGGTCTGCCAGGGGCACCACAGACCTGTCAGGGGCACCACAGGTCTTCCAGGGGCACCAAAGGCCTTCCAGGGGCACCACCGACCTCGCAGGGGCACCTTGGGCCTGTCAAGTGCACCACAGACCTGTCAGGGGCACCTCAGGCTTGTCAGGGCCCAGGGGTACCACAGTCCTTTCAGGAGCACCACAGGCCTGTCAGGGGCACCACAGGTCTGCCAGGGACACCACAGACCTGCCAGGGGCACCCACTGGCCTCGCAGGGGCACCTTGGAACTGTCAGGGACATCACGTGCCAGTCGGGGACACTTCAGGCTTGTCAGGAGCACCACAGTCCTGTCAGGGCCCAGGGGCACCAGCGGCCTAGCAGGGGCACCACGGCCTCGCAGGGGCACCACCGGCCTCGCAGAGGCACCATGGGCCTGTCGCTGGCACTTCAGGCTCGTAAGGAGCACCACAGTCCTTCCAGGGGCACCACAAACCTGCCAGGGGCACCTGCGGCCTAGCAAGGGCACCACAGGCCCGCCAGGGGCACCACAGGCCTGCCAGGGCAAAAACAAATAAATACAAAATTAAAATAGGGCACCACCAAAATTAAGTGGCCGAAATCAGTTGAGGTTTTAATTTTGGGTATAGGTAGGGGCACTACTTTGATTCATGACCCTCCCCTTGGAGTTTTCCTGGATTCGCTCCTGGTGCCAACGCGGCTGCGGAGGCCAGGGGGACGCGTCCATGAGATTTAATTTCTGGACAGGAGTCTCCCCGATATTTTGGTCGATTTTCTTTTCTTGTCACGTTTTTTTTTTTACCAATTTGAGCATGCTTGCGAAAATAAAGTGGCCGAAATCCGAGGAGAAAATGGATTTTGGGGGTAGGTGAGGTTTTGTGCCTCTGGGAGCCTGGCCCCCCCACTTTCGAAAACGTTCCTACACCTATGATTAGTAAAGTAATCTTGGTTACCTGAAAGCTTCGTTCTTCCTGAAGTTTGTCCTAAAAGGCCCTGCCATTCTCATCTCAACAGGCATGTCGGTGCGACCACGGCACGGAACTGGTTCCCATCAGCTCCGTGCCATGGCTACGAGTATGCCACACTCGTGGATACTCGTGGGGTTTCTCCACCTATTTCCCGCTCGCGGCAGAAGGGTCAATATGTTTCCCTCTGGTAGCAAATGTCGCTGGTCGTCGATCGCTCAAGTGGAACGAAGCTCTAGCCGTTTCCTGTGCTTTTTACGGGCGGTCTTCTGTGGTCTTTTGGATCGATCCAGACCAGGCGGCCCTTTTCTTCTTTCTCTTCATTAGCCGAGTTTGATCCATTGCCCGCTGGGTTTCTCGTATATATGCAATATACTTAGTTGGCCGTCATCTATCTTCGTTGACCGGAGACGGGACAGTGGCTCGGCGTCGGAGCGCGGCTTATTCGTACGGCGAAAATCTGCCGCAGCGCCGGCGGTAAGTGCGCGGTCCCGCTGCGGCGGCGACCGCTGAATTATTCCGGCCCGGATCGCGGGCTCAGTCCAGTCGCTCCGCCACCAGTAATCTTCCTAATGGAGGCCGGTCGGTGGTGGCGGCGCGCGCGCGCGCCCTGATGCCGTGTATTTTTGTGACGCCGCCGGCTGACGGGGCTGGATTTATGGTGCGTGGTGGCTAGTGACGTCCGATCCTTACAGGCCATCCGCCATAAGCGAGGGGCCGATGGTATAGTCTGAAACGCCACATCAACATAGATTTTTCTCGAGCTGAAGTCCATTGACATAACCTGACCTGACTTTGGGTGATCTTGGGCTAAGTTTTTCAAATGCTTAGAAAAGATTTATGATGGGGTGCGGCCGTAGGTATGAGTAGGTCCTAGACAGTAGAAATGAATATCTCCGGAGCAGTGATCACTGATGCGGACGTCTCGGGAGCTGGGGTGTCCTGCGGCCCATGGCCTGACCTCCCACCGTGTGCCCAGTCGTGCTGCCGTCTCTCTCTCTCTCTCCGCGGCACTGTGTCTCTGGATCGGACAGGACAGGTGACTGACCCGAGCGCCGCTAGGCCGGGGATCGACTCTGCCAGTTTTCAAGATATTATAGCCTGAAACGTGACCTGCGTAGAGAGATGTTATTATCCACCGCCTCTCTCCGTAACCGCCTGAGCCTAGCGCTTTGATCTGCGAGTTGAAAGCACTGCTCCGCTAGGAGGCCCAATTTGTTAGGTCTGCGAGCTTTTCCAGGGTTTGGGAATACAGTCGCTAGCGATTGGTTGGATTTCTCCCAAATGGTTTGAACGAGTGATCTGACAGAATGGCAACCGCAAATGCATTTCGACTAGCGGGAGACCGGTAGTGGATGACTCGTGTTCGGGAAATGAGGCGATATACTCGTAGTCCTCGGTGGCTCCGGCACGATGACGTATAGCCGCGGCTGGAGTGGGGTGCTGCTGTCTTAGGCTTCCGAAACTCAATGGTATTTAATCTCGGTCAACCGGTTTCGTATGTTTGGGTGGAGTTGCAAACGGGTCACTTTGTGTTCTCTTCTTTAGATCTCTGGCAAGGCATTGGAACTATTTTTGTTTTTTACTTGTTGTGCCTTTCCTGGTCCCAGGTGGCAACCAAATTGCATTTACTGGTCTCTATGCCCGTCCGTCCTCCCGTTCAACCCATCGTCCGAGCCCAAGGGCCCCTCTCCCCACTCCTATTTCAGTTGTTAGGGGTAGGGCGTGTAGAACAACGTTAGAGGCTTCCCAGCCGGAGGTCCTCCTGTTGATCCCGACAGACTGAGACTGCAGGCAATACTGGAGTGTCCCCCCCCCCCCCTCCGCGCCCGACGTCGGACAGTCGGCTAATATAAATTCCGGTCGTCGCGCCGCTCACCTGCAGGCTCGGTCGACGAGGGCGGTCTGCCCGGCTGACCGGGGGACTCAGGTGGTCGTTCAGCCGACACTGGAGACGTGACCAGGGGCGTGTCACCCACGTCAGAGGGTTGGCGAATGGACCCGGCAGCCGTCAAGCATGCAAACAAAACGGGCCACGGGCATCGTAGAGATCCTACGCAGGACGTACGCGGAACTGTGTGTCGAGCACGCACGCCGCAGTAACATCGTCCACTTTACCACAGTACTCGTAACGTGATGGTGCATTTGCGCCATGGACTATTGCGCAAATGGTTTGCCGGTGAAATGTTGAGGTAGAGAGATTTAGGCAATAGTGTAGGGTTAATCGATAAATAAACGGCGAAGCTCTAAGAACGTTACGAAAATTCGCAGTATTATTAAATAATATAATCAGGATATATAGAACATCAATATCATTTAATTACTCTGCAGCGTACAATGCTCAACGACCAGCGTAGGTACTGACTAGTTATGCCTACCGACAAGCTCCCAGAATCCGGCTGGAGGAAAGGGGGCATAACGGTACCCTGCCTCATAAATAACTGAACGTTGGCTGGTTTGGCTTAAAGGTAGTGTGCCAGCTTTCCTGGACCGTATGGAGTTAATGGCCCAGA